TTTGGGGGTAGGGCTTACATTGGGAGCATGTGTAAAAATCAAGCTAGACTTACTTTCAGGGTAGGTCATATTTTCAGGGAAACAGGGTAATTGTGGAAGGTTCCTGATCCATGTGTAGTCACATGCCACTTCACAGGAATATATACATATATTTGTAACAGAATATCTGCATCTCTGTTTAACCCTTGAGACAAAGCATATTGTATAAACAAATAAATATTTTGCATATAGTAAACTAACAGCACTCTTTTTTTTAATAGAGAGCACTGCGTGTTAGTCATAGAGCTGGAGATGGTCTGAAAAATGGTTCTGATCCTTCTTGACTCTTTTGACTCCCACGGTGTATATCAAAACTATCCATGTTAACTTGACGCTTGCTAGCATATCTACAAGTGAATTGTGTCATTAATGGATCTTTTGCCTAAAACTGTCAGCCCTGTGGGACTAACCAAATTAGGAATCATAACCAGATGAGTCAATTCTACTTTATTGTAAAGCTCCATTGGTAGAATCTTTCAAATCTGAAAAACACAAAAAACCCCTCACATATCTGTTTTACAACTGGGGAAACTAGAGAGGGTCTTTTCTGTGCCTTTTGTCCCACCCAGCTGCAGGCTATACTGTCTCTCATCTGATTGTTCTATTGGCATCATCTCTTTGTCCAGTCTCCCAAAGTCTTTTCCACATACCATTATAAATACATCTGCAGTGCATCAGATATGAAAGGTTACCCTAGATTCAACATAATAGTTTCCTATACTTTACTATATTCACAAAATTCACTGAAGATTATAAGAAAAGGAAAGAAAATGGTCCACATAATATTTTATAGATGTCTGTAGGTTTAAATGTAATTTTTATGCATGATTTTTCAATGGTAGGTCCTAATGTAGCCAATAGCTCTTCTTTGCTAATTGGGAAAAGATTGCAGCTTTAAAATGGTGCTTGAACATTTTATGTTGAATTGTGTAAAGGTATTGTGCAAACATTAATCTGATATTTGCATCTTATTTGATAATATTTGTTTCTTGATACTGAATCTGAACATTTCCCAGTTTCCCTTCAATACAGTCAAATGGTTTTGATTCCCTGCACCCGAAAGAATTTAAAGTAGATTTTATTTATTTCGTACAGGAAATAATGAATTCATCATCAAAATATGACATACCTTTAAGCTCCATTTTGGTACCATTCCAAACATTCATGATGCCTTTTTCATTCTTCCAGAAGGTTTTAATTTGGAGATCAGGGAAAGATTACCTCTGCTTCAATTCCTGGTAAGAGAGATAGGTTAACTTTTTGAATTCTGCCTTCTGCTTGATTGGGGTACTCCTTTTTGTTATCCTACTTCCTTGCTTTTAGGATATTGTCTGTTCATATAATATAATATTATATTATATTAAAATATAATATTTTAATCAGATATGGAATTAGTTTGATACACATCTTTCTGCAATAAATATTCCTCTATCCTTCTTAGTTGATTCCTCAATGGGCAAGAATTGTTAGAGAAAAAAGGTTGCTCTGTCCAGTCATATCCGATTTGAGGGCGTGGTGCTCATCTCTGTTTCCTAGCCAAGGGACCTAGCATTGTCCAAAGACATTTTCTGTGGTCATGTGACCAGCATAACTATATGCCAAAGGCACATGTAATGCTGTTACTTTCCCACCAAAGTGATACCTATTAATCTACTCGCATTTGCATGCTTTCAAACTGCTAGGTGGACAGGAACTAGGCCAAGTAATGGGAGCTCACCCCATTGCATGGAGTTTGGGTTTCAAACCAGGGCTGTCAGCTTTCCAGTGATGAGCTCAACATTTTTAACCACTGAGCCATCACAATCCCATTTAAATGGTGAAAAACCAATGTTTTGAGGGAACCTATTGACTAGTATCTATGCTATCCCTAATTCACATGATTCGTAGTTCCAAATCCCAAAGGCTATATACATCCCTCAGTCTAGTTTTCTGTGGCTTGTAGAGATGGAACGGGAAGTGAGAGAAAGGCAGAAGCTCTGAGGGATCAAAGCAGAAAAAACATTTTTCTGCATTTTCCCCCTTATACTTAGTTTGTTAAAAGAAGGGAACTATTTTGCAACGACCTTATTGAAGCCAGTATTTAGGCTCAAAAAGAATATTCAAACATCCAGAACTTTTGCAAGCACGTTTCAGACTAGATTTAAGCTGCTCTCAGAATTCTGAAGTTTAACTCTTATCACGGAACCTCAAGCCTCATCCTAATTATAGCTCATGCATTTTTTTAGACTAAGCCCCAAAAGGAAACATTTTGCACTTATTGCATCATAGAAGAATTCTTGTGCATCTTTTTTGTAATCTTCTGTAATTTGATGAAAGAGAATTATTTTACAAAATTGCATTTGAGAGACCTGTATAGTAACAATAGCCAAGAGGTCTTGACTTTCATTGGTGAGCCCTGGTTTCCCACAAGGGCTAGCAGTTCTTGATATTCATTTGTAAAAAGGTATTTTGGAGCACTGTCATCGGTCTGTCTGCTTATCATCAATGTATTACCTGTCTGTCTCTGCCTGCCTACCTACCTACCTACCTACCAGGCTGGGAACCCTGATCTTACATGTATGCTGCCCATCTCACGAGCTTATAGACATTGGATAAAATGCTGAATACAATATTATAACAATAAATAAAGATCTTACATTTAACAATCTAGTTATAATAAAACTAAGCAGGAGGGAAAGGGAGGGTGCAAGTGTGACGGGGGGGGGGGTGTCCTCTGCTCCATTAGCTATCTCCAAAACACCACACAATCCATTGGGGCTTCAGGCTAGTTGGCCTTATTTTTGAGGTATTTGGAAGATCAAAAGGGTAAGAGCAGATCTGATCTCAGAGGGAGGGTGCAAGATATTTCTGATGTTGGCAACCACTGCAGAAAAGGGACCTCTTCTGGACCCTTCCAGTTGAAATTCCTTAGCTGACAGGGTCTGCAGCAAGCTGCTTCTATGAAGTCCTAGAAGCCCAATTCCTTAAGTCAAATACATTTTTATCTAAGATAACACAGCGGCTACAGATTTGCTTACTTACCACGTTCATAAGTTTTGAGTTCTGAAGCACTTTTTTGCCTTTGAATCTAAAAAGGTTGCCCAGCTTTCTTCTCTGCCTGTCCTAAAGGAAGACATCCTCACAGACTTCCTTCTTCTATGAACCCTTTTCATATTTGGGGAACCAGAAAGTAATAGAAACAAGTGTCACAGTAAACATGACCCACCACAAAACCTTCCTCTTACAAAATAAACTCTTGACTCCTGGTTTGAACAAGTCCCTGCAATTTTCTCACTAATACATTGGAACCAGTTTGCCATTGCTGCCCTTCTTCCAGGGCTGAGAGAGAATGACTGGACCAAGTCACCCAGTTGGCTTTCATCCTAAGGTGGAACTAGAATTCACAGCCTATTGGTTTCTAGTCTGATGCCTTAACTACCACACCAAGCTGGCTGCAGTGCACATCAGATGAGCCAATTGCAGGAAGTTGCAAACAATGTCATAAAGCTGGAAGGCATTTGTTGAAAACTAATGATAATTCCCAGTTCAGCCAACCTCTGAACTCCTTCAATTAGTAATGGGGCTACCAAGGAATACTTTTCCAGGATCCTCAAATATGGCTATTTTCAACCAATACCCTTGATCATAAGTAGGAATATTTTCTCATATCATGCTGCTTTAGTTTTTCTTTCTTTTAGTGGTAAATAACACTTGGGTTTTGTCACTTCAGTTGACTTATTATTATTGAGGTAAATTTTAATTTGATGAGTAAGATTTTAATTGATGAGGGTTTTTTTCCAATTCTGTATCAAGATCTGCCTTGTAATATCTCAGAAGGTTTTTTTTCCTGCCACAGAGGTTTCTTTTTTTAAAAAAAAAAATTATTCCCAGGATGATATTCCTGAGCATACTTCAAAAATCCAAAGGGCTAAAATATGCTATTGGTGGCATTGCAATTTTCTGCTGTACTTCATTCTATCATTCTAAATCAAGGGTGTCAAAGTCAATTTCATTGAGGGCTGCATCAGGGCTGTGGTTTACCTCAGTGGGCTGGGTGAGTGGGTGTGGTCAACTGGGTGGGTGTGGCCAGATTGACACCATTCCCCAAATTGCTGGCATGTTTCCACTTTGCACTGGGTAGACCGGCCTGAAGCCACACTGGCCCAATGTTTCCTCTTTGCATTGGGTAGATGGAACTGAAGCAACATGGGTAGACCAGGCCAAAGTGACATGGGCTGGCCCCTTACATTTTCTAGGATGGCCCCATGGAGTGGAACCAACCATATTGCAGGCCAGATCAAGCCCATGGGCCTTGTATTTGACACCCCTGCTCTAAATCCTCCATGGCTGCCCACACCTGAGAGTCTAAGAAAACCCAAAGCCAGGAAAGTCCTCATGATGCCTTCTCCTGCAATTTAATGGGAGATTGAAAGGTCATAGGGGACCACTGGAGAAGTAATAATATGATGAGAGAAAGGACATAATTTGAACTTTCCTTTATATGTGCAAAACATATTTTCTACCATACCATTGAACCTGATGTTTACCTCAGTCTTCTCCCTATCTTTGAATTAAAGAAAGTTCCTATCATTCATAATGCATCAAAGTTTTAGAATAGGTATAGGTGGTTTCATGGGAAAAAAAGAAGAAGTAGCAACATCAGGGTTAAATGGTTAATAGGCCCAGCATTTTATTCTGAGCATGACTTAATTTTATTCTGTCTTAATGGGATATTCTACAGTGATTTTACACATGCCTTTTCCTTTGAGATGAAGCATCTCTAAGTTGCTGCTTCTGACACATGGATAGATTAAGAATCAGAGCAGACAGTGTACAGAATCCATGTAGCCTGTCTGTCTCAAATACTCTGAAAAAAAAAAAGATTGAAAGGACTCTGAATGAGTCAGTATTTTGAGAATTCCCTTCTGGGTCAACTTCTCATTCAATTTGTTTCCCTTATAAAGCAATTGCCATCCAGTCTTCTTAGAGAAATAGTAGATAAATGTGTATCACTTGACATGAGCCATGGCTATCTCTAACATTAGGGAGCTGAGGTGGCATAGTGGTTAGAATACAGTATTGCAGGCTAACTCTGTCTATAACCTGGAGTTCGATCCTGACCAGCTCAAGGTTGACCCATCCTTCCATCCCTCTGAAATCAATAAAACCCAGATTTGGGAGAAATATGCTGACATATGTAAATTGCTCAGGGAGTGCTTTAAGTCTATAATGGAGTATATAAGTCTAATTAATATTGCTAGGGAGACAACCATCTCAGGCAAGTATTGTTGGGATTGGAGTAGCTCATGGCTTTTACTTGATTGTTGGATGACAAAAGAGTATATGCCATCTGGCCTATCCAGGACAACCTGACGTATTGGGCTTCTTCTATTTGGGGTAATGGATGTCATCTCATCATTGACATCGAAGTCTGCTTCAGCTGCCAGTCTTACAAAGTTTTGTGTTTAGAAGAATAAAGGGGAAAAACATTTAAACATGCCTTGTATGAATTGAATTGAATTGAATTATTTACTGTCATTGTCAGTATACATGCAACGAAATTCACATAACACCCAGAGACCAGACTCAACATGCACAGAAACATGTTGTGTGTGTATCAGCTTTATTTAGTAGTTTCAGGGTAAGAGGGAACTCCTTCAGAGAGTCTGGGCCATAAAAAGATTCTAAGAGATTTTCCTTCTCCAGTGAGTCCTTTCTTTTTTGCCATCTAATGAGAAGGAAAGACTCATTAGAGAAGAGCTTAATGCTGGGAATGATTGAGGGCAAAAGAAGAATGGGACTGCCGAGAAGGAGGTGGCTGGATGGAGTCACTGGAGCAGTAGGTGTGAACTTAAATGGACTCCAGATAGTGGTAGAGGACAGGAAGGCCTGGAGGAATGTTGTCCATGGGGATGCAATGGGTTGGACATGACTTTGTGACTCACAACAACAAGAAGAGATTCCGATACGATCTTTATTATTACCATTAATTTAATGTCCACTTAAAACTTGTAGACATCCAGATGTTCCTGGAATATGACACTTAATAGTGAATATTGGTAACAAAGGTTCTCCATCCCTCCATCCCTTATTATTCAGCAACTAATTTTGGTATCAAGAAACATTGGGACTTGGACAAGTACAGGTAAAAGTTACAGTGGTATCGAGCTATTCAGAACATGAGTTAAGAATTTTCTGGCAGTGTAATTCTCTCAGGCTGAAGAATAGCCTAATCTTTCAAACCTCATGATAAATCCACAATGGAGGACTAGATCAAATGGTTGTATTTCATGCAAAGAAGTTGCAATGAATAGAACCCCAAAAGAACCCTTTCCAGCAGCTATCTCCACATTATGGGACATCTCCATACAGTGCATGGAGCCCCCAACCTAGTAACCTTTGATAAGACATTTTGCACATTGAGCTTTTAGTGCTGATCATGTGGAAGATCCGTCATGATGAGACAATTTATCTTTCCTGTACTTTTGATTTGGTTTGGACTTTTTTTTTATTGGTAGTATTGTGTTGTTTTGATAGTTACTGGGAACTCCTGACGTGGGGAGGAGGAATATATATTTAAAATAAATGCAGTATTGATTTCAGGTGAATGTTGAGAAACCACATGGCGTCTAAAACACTTTGATAGGGGAATTCTTTAAACAGAATAATGATGACTTCTCTTTCTTTGGAGGTTGTCAGCAGAGACTGGACTACCTTCTCTTAAGAATGGCTGTGCCTTAGCCCCTTTTTATCTATGATTCTATTATTTAAAACTATTTCTGTTCCAAATGGGATGTTGCTTGGACAATAAAGTCTCATTAGTGTTGCCGTGTTTCTTTGTGCCCCCTTTTCCTGACCTCATGGCTCAGCTCCTGACACTCAGCCTCTGCTTTTACTGCCCCCTTTTGGCATTACATTGACCTGCTTTTGAAATCTTTTATATACTATTGACCTTGGTTTTTTTTGTTTTTTGTTTAATAAAGTTTTATTGAGTTTTAACAAAACAAATAAAACATCTTATTTGAGTACAGCATGGTTCCGGGTTATCACATTTCCATACAGACACAATTTCATATGCATATTCATCTTATGTATTCAACTTCATATCTTCTTACTCTTTTTCCAACTTCTCACTATTTGTCCCTTTACTTCTCTTATTTTTTTTTTATGGTTATCTCATTTTCTTCTTATTCAATTGTATTTCTTTTACCTAAATTTCTATATCTTTTTATTCATTGTACTTATACTTTCGTCTGTCTTGTTTACAATTTCATATGTTCTCTTCCAACATTCTTAAGAAGCAAAATTCCCCCTATGATTGCCAATCAAAGTGCAACACCTTTAAATCTTATTGTTATTATCATATGAAATCTCATTAAACATTGAATTTGTGCATTCTAAAATTATAACATTCAAATATCTATTTTATATCATGTAGATCTCATCATTCAGACTCTGCTTGGTACTTCCCCTTCAAAATGTAAAAAGAAAAATTCTAAAAACATAGCAAAAACAATATATATATATGAACATTAGTAAACAAAATAGTTATCCAAAATCATTCTAGTACTGGTATGAAACTTGCAAATCTTTCATGTTTCTTTTCAATATCTATCAATCTTTGAGAATAATTGAAATGTTTCCTCCCTTCTTCATTATTACTTAACTGTTAATAAGCATACCATTGGATAGTCATACAGTTTTATCTTATAAATTATTTACTATTAATAAGCAAAATAATTATTCAA